CTACAGGAGAAACATGGGAAATCTCCACTGGTGAAGATTTAAAACCTCAGAAACCCAATGGAGTGTCACTCTAAGTAAAAACCAACCTGCTGGCAGTGGGTTTAGGAAGTTACAGGCACCAGTTGCAGTACATAATTAAGTAGCAACTGTTTCAGAGAATACAACCTCAATATAGATTAATATGAACATTATTTCAACATTAAGAACACAGAAATCCTGATCATTGGATCAACAAGTGACTTCATGAAAGCTGGAGAAAAGATTTAAAGTGTCATCAATTTCTGAAAGAAAGAACCCTGTAAAATGAATATATGATTAGGCATTATACCTGTGACAACAGCCCAGAATAAGAGCTATATCATTGTAGAGAGAACTGAGAAGGCAGTAGGTAATTGTGCAACAATGAATAAGTATTTTTTTAAAGTGAACTAGGGCAGGAAGAAAGGAGGGTGAGGGATTAAAATATGCAACAATGAATGAATGAAAATCTAACTTCTCTGTAAATGTTCACGAAAATATCTATTAAAAGAACATTTTATTTAAAAAAATAAACTGTCATCAATTTCATCTTCTTGGATCCACAATCAACACCTTTGATTCCAGCAGTCAGGAGATTAGGAAATGTATCGCACTGGGAAAGGCTGCTGTCAGGGACCTCTCCAAAATACTGAGGAGCAATGATGCTAATTTGAAGACTAACATGCACCCGGTTCAGACCATGGCCTTTTTCAATCACGTGCTATGCTTCTGAGAGCCAGGCAATGAATAAGGATGACAAAAGAAAATTTGATGCCTTTCATGGTGTTGAATAAGAGTACAGCCATAAGAACAGCTATGTCGTGGAAAAAGTACAGCCAGAGTGCTCCTTGGAGGCAAGGATGGTGAAGCTTTGTCTCACATACTTTGGGCACATTGCTAGGAGAGGTTATTCCTTGGAAAGGGAAATCATGTTTGGAAAGGCAGAAGGTCAGCAAAAGAGAGAAAGATGGTTTGACAGTGACTGCAGTAGTGGGCTCAAGTGCACCAGAGATAATGAGGATGGCACAGGAGAGGACAGGGTTCAGGTCTATGGTTCATATGGTCATGTTGACTCAGATTTGATTTGATGGCACCTAACAACAACTGTTTCCACTATTGTAACATTTTTCATTGCTATTCCATCTGCTATTCCTTTTCTAAATCCTTGAACATTCAAATCCAGTCTAGCCTTCAGAACTAATTCAAATGCTATTTCTGTACCAAAAAATTCTTTGATCTTCTCAGATGAAGTAATCTCTCTTTTTCTAACAAGTTGTTCTCAAATAAGGGTGATTTGTATCTCCAGGGAACATATGAAAATATCTGGAGACATTTTCCATTGTCATACTGTGAGGGTATTACAGGCATCGAGTGGGCAGAGGTCAAGGCTATTGCTAAATGCCCTACAATCTACCGGGCAGCCTTCTCCCTCACATAAAGAATTGTTAGTTGCTGCTGAATCTATTCCAACTCACAGCAGTCTCATGTGTACAAAGCAGGCAGATCTGTAGAGTTCTCAAAGCTGAAATCTTTCAAAAGTGGTTCTACAGGTTCTTCCAACCTGTTCAAAGTGTGAGTTTGAACTGTTAACTTTTTGGTTGGTAACTCAGTGCTTCACCATTTGCAGCAGTCAGAGACTTCTAACAAAGAATGATCCAGTGCAAAAATTCAACAGAGCCAAGTTGAGAACTAAACTGAAAGCTTATGTTCTAAATAAACTAAACAAAAGCGTATGTTACAAACGAAAAGCTGATGGCATTATGATCCATATCATTTCTACTTTAAAAAAGAGCTAACTTATGAGTAGCTTTTGTATTTGTTGTGGACTATAAATTACATATACCACTGGCTGCCAGAAGAATGAACAAATCTGTTTTGGAAGAAGTACAGTCAAATGTTCTGGAGGGTAAGAATTCCTCTCATTTACTTCGGGTATATTATCAGGAGCAACCAGTCTGATGAGAAGGACATCATGCTTGGTTTAGAGTTAGTAGTCAACAAGTTGGACTGACAATGCCTATACCACAACGGGCTTGGATATAAGAGAGATTGTGAAAATGGCACAGGACTGGCAGCGATTCAGTCCAATGTACATGGATTAGGTCTTTAAAATTGAAACTCATTCAATGGCATCTAACAAGATATAATTTTGAAGGCAGAGACTCTATCTTAATCATCTTTTTGTCACTAATATCCAAGATCATGAGCTAATTCCTCCTTTATAGCCATATGTATCATTTCATTACCTAGCTTAGCTTAAGGTAGCTCTTAGTTTAAGAGCTTTGGTGGCCTAGGGGCAAAAAGCTGCAGTGCAATCCTGAAGGCACACAGTTCAAGGCCACAAGCTGCTCCATGGGAGAAGGATGGACAATCTCCTTTTGTCTCCTTTTGTGTGATTAATTGCTTCTGAAAATCTGCTGGCGGGTCAGCTATGGGCTGGTTCTAACCCAACAGTATACAACAACAACCTTAGCTTAACTACAAAAGATGATATGCTAGGTGAAATGTTTTAAGATTTCCTTAAGACACTAGAAAAATAATGTAGGGTCTAATTTTTAAGCCACTGGCCATTCTTATTTCTTATTTCAAATACACACACACACACACACACACACACCCCAAGTGATTTCATAAACCACAAGATATAAGAAAGAGTACAGAAAACTAATATATTTTAAAGGATACAATTCGCATTTGAATGCATTTGGAAAAGCATTTTAACCATGAAAAATTTGACAATGTTGACTAAAAACTTTGCTAAAAGAATCAAACCAAGGAGGAAAAGGAAAAGTGAAAACATTTTTAAGACACTAGGCTCAAGGGAAACATGATTAGGGAAAATAAATGCTCAACATACCAACACTGGTGTCACATTTAGAGCTCAAACATTTTTTAAAAATATAATCTCCCTGGAGGAGCATAAGCATTGTTTTATTTAAAGTGCCTGAAGTATCTGTATTCATTATCATATGTCAGCAGCCATTCAGACAGGATTTTGTCAAGGAGGAAAATATGAATCCGTATAATTCTTCTCACCAATGGTATTTCCAACAAGAGCTACAAGATATAATCAATAAATGATGGCTCTGCTATATAACAGAAATCATTCTTACCGACAGGAAGGCTACTGTTACTTTTCACAAATAGCTGCATTTCCAAATAAAATTCTGAAGAGCAACTTTCTGTTACTTTTGGAAAGCACTAAAACCAAATTAGGTAGTTAGCTGGTACATCTAATTGTGTGTGTGTGTTTTTCATTTTTAAGCAGCACTTTCATGTAACAATCTAGCAAATCAGTCCTTTGAAGTGGGCTGATCTATTAGGTAACACAGATGTTTTCATTGAATTTTATTATGCTCATAAAAATTTCATAACAATCATAAAATAATAATTTGCAGTGGCCAATAGCATGGGCTATAGTCAACATAAAAATGCAAGTATTTCATGTGAAAAAGCAGATGGAAGCTCTAAAACAGAGTAACAATCACCTCTTAATGAAATTACACCCATTTTAGTAATTTGTTCCTAGCTTTCAAATCACTTTTTTTTTTTTTTTATGGAGAACATTTTTTATTCCCCTGCTCCAACACATGGCATCCACTTCCTAAACAACATGACTTTGGAAACTCTATGAACTTTGATAAATGACAATAGTTACAGAAAGGCTTTAGGCCTTTTGATCACAGGGTCCCTATGAGTTGTGCTTGACACGCTGGCAATCAACAACAACAACAACAACTACCAACACTGCTCAAATAATTGAAGGGCAGGAACTCTGTTCTAACCACTTTTTAAAGCATTTTATCACTAATAAATAGGACAATTTGCCAATCTTTCTTTTCATTTCTTTGTATGGTCTCACTAAATAAGGTGTTTTGGTGGTGCTGCATTTAACCAAAAGGTTGATGAGTTGAACCAACCAACCAACTGCTCCTGAGGAAGATGGTTGAGGCAGCCTGTTCCTGTAATGACTTACGGACATGGAAAATGTACGGCGAAGTTCTGTTGTTTTCTACAGGACCCTGCACAATCTGAATCAAATTTATGGTTGATTTGGTTTTCATTTTGGTTTTGTCTCTTTAAATATTTTCAAGTCAATCAAATAATTTCCATGGAGTCAAACTGCCAGCTGACCTTCTATTAGGTTTCTGAAGCTGTACACTATGTTGAAGGACTACCTGTCTTTCTCCTGTGGAGCCTCTAGTGGATTCAAACCACCAAAGAGACGTGGCCTTGGAGTTTGCAGCACAAGTTTCAGGACTATACCACCAATGCTCCCTAGCAAGTACTTTAAATCAACCTAAAAAAGATGAAAAATGCTAAGTAAGTAAGGTGCTCTCTTTGTTAAATGAAAGGAACTCGTCCATAAGACCACAAACCATAGCCTCCTGTAGCCCAAGATCAGAAGAACTAAAAGGGTGTTGCACAAAATTCAAATTCACAAAAAATGACAAACATACTGGATTGACAGAGACTGGAGGAATTCCTAAGAATATCACTCTAAAGCACTCTTTTAGGATCTGAAGCCAATCCCAGACATCGTCTTCAGTCAAGTAATAGAATGGCCGATAAAATCAACTGTAACACCCAGGGAGAATGTGTTCCCTTGAACAACTAACTCTACAAGATTAAATGGGAAACATTTTCCAAAATGCAAAGATGAGAAGGCAAGGGTGGACAGGATGGAAGCGGGAAAGTTAAGGTGGAAATTATGACAGAGTCGACCAGTGTCAACTGTCATCTAAAACACGATATGTAAATCACACACCTAAAACACAATTAAATGTTTAGAAAAAGTTATCTGATAAACAAGAAAAGTTACATACAACCTCATTTTTTAATTTCTAAAATTCAGACATGAGTTACTCTTATTTCTGACATCATATAATTATCCCAAGTGAATCCATACAATGACTCCCAAGTGCTTCCATAACAACATATGAATATCAACAATATTAAAAAGACAATAAAGAATTACTTACCTAGTAAATCTGAGGCTCTCAAATTCTCTTTTAGAAAAATAACAGAAATGATGGCACTACCTAGAAAGAAAATGGCCATGAGCAATGGTTCCAACAGAAAAACATATATTATGCAACGCAGGTTGAAAGAAGTGAGCTCTTTGTATCCTATATCTCAGTAGCTGTGTCCAGAGTGAGAACCATTGCACAGCCCCAGTCATGGAAATGACCTCCCTGTCCCTTCATGGTTGAGGATCCATGGAAATCAGCCTGTTTTCCTCTGGACCTAGGACAATGGCTAGAATAGGGACTAGTATATGATGAGGGCTTAATAAAAGTCTACTAGTTGTTGTTGTAGAGTGCTGTAGAGTTGTAGATGACCCATAGCAACCCTATGAATGAAAGTCTTGAACACAAAACTTTCACCTTTTCTCCAAGTTGATAGAGTTTGCAGAGGCAAGCTATTTATTTATTTATTTATGTAATCTATTTGTTTGTTTGTTTGTTTGTTTGTGGATGCCACCCCTGCTTCCATGCCTGTTTTATTCAGGAGATTCACAAAAAACCAGGCCCTCAGGCCCAAAAGCATTTTTCAATACAAGGCCAAATCCAATCAGCTCACACCCTGTTGCGAGCAAAGCCACACTCTAGTCTCAACCCCACCAGAAAACACACCTTTGCAGAATCCAGCCATTCTCCTCATCTTCACAGCCCAGAAATAGCCCACAAGTCTACTAGGTAAAAACATTATTAAAAAGGGAAAAAAGGTAGAATGAGCTGGAAGGGACTGAAAAACATGAAGAGACAGAAAACAGAAAAAAAAAGAACAGAAAGAAGAAAGTCTTGATATTTTGTTATTATAAAAATATAGATAACACATCCACCCACTTAATGTTATGCACATGTACAATTTATTAACATCAATTATATAAAATAATGTTGTGCATCACCAATTCCATTGCCAAATGTTTCACCATCATAAACAGAAACTCCATGTTTTTCAGAAAACAACTCCTCTTTCCTCTTGCCTCCAGCAACTACTTATAAACTTTGGTCTCTGTACAGTTGCCTGTTCTAGAGAGTTCATTTGAGTCAGGCCACACAACAGATGTCTTTTTGTGACTGACTAGCTTCACTCACTATAGTGTTACCAAGGTTCAGCCATGTTGTAGCATGATAGCAGAAATACTGTTATCAACTGTATGTATTTCTAGCTGAAATTAATTTCCCAGCCTGTCCTCATAAAATTCCTCCTATTGTCAATTCTACCTCCATACATTACTAACACAAGAGTTCTGAGGTTCTTCATTCTCCTCGTTCCTTCACATTACGCATCCAGTTGGCTACTGGCTCAGTGAAGTCTCTGTGCCACTGTATCCAAGTCCACCCTTTTCTTGTTTCACTTACATTGGCACTGACCCCCTCTGGTAGCTTCATCTCTGAGTTAGACCTTTCTTCACACGACCACCAGAACAATCTTTATAAAATGTAAATCTGAGGCTAATTCTTGACTTTAAAAATTATCTAGTGGCTAGAAGCTGAACTGCAATCCCAGAGGTGTGTGGTTCAAATCCACCAGACGCTCTGCTGGAGAAGGAGGGACAATTTCCTCCTGTACCAGTCAGATTTGATTTGATGGTACACACACACAAAATAATAAAATAAAATAAAAATATTTTAAAAAATCATCCAGTGGCATCCTGTTCCCTACAGGACAAAAGCCAAGTTTCTAAGCATGACAATCAAAGACTACCCTTGACTGCACCTGCCACTTGTTCACTGTGTTTGTTTTTATCTCTTTTTATATTTTACACTTCACTTTTAGTAAAATAACCACAATTACCCTTAAGGATTCCCCTTAAGGCATATGTTGATACCTCTGCAACTCTGCCTCCATTCTTCTAGCCAACCATGGACTGACTCAGCATCCCCTCTGGATTCTCTGAGACTGAGTTGGCTACTCCATTATTATGTCACGTCTGCTCTCTATATCATCATACCCAAGACTTGCTCCCATTACTCATCTCAGTTTGCGTGGTGATGGCTTTTGTATTGCTAAGAGGCTGGAAACTATGTCACAGGTATTTAAAATACTCATAGGGTCATCCATAGTGGACAAACTCTCATGGAGATTTCTGACTAAAATGAGGAAGAAAGGCCTGGTGATCTACTTACAAAAGGCAGTCAGTGAAAAAAAAATCCTATGGATTACAATGAGTTAGATGGCTAACCAAAATGCCAGCAGTCTGATTTCACCAGTCACTCCATGGACAAAGCCAAAGGTAATCTCCTTCCCTTGAGACATAGAGCCTTGGAAACTCAATAGAGGGCCACTATGAGTTGAAATCAACTTGAGGGATATGTGTTTGGTTTTATTTGGTGCACTGTAAGAAGACTGTGCAGCTCTGAGGTTGGGAGGCACCGAGAACACACAATGGCTCCACAATAGGCTCTGGTAAAGAATGTGAAGGTGGCATGGGACTGGGAAACATTGCTTTCTGTTGTACATGAACTTTTCTCGAGTCAGAGCTGACTTGGTGGCAATCAACTCCAATAATAAACATAATAAAATCTCCAAGATTTGGGCCAAGACTATTAGTTGTTGTTGTTGTTTGGTGCCGTAGAGTCGTAGACGACTCATAGAGACCCTATGAACGAATGGCCTGAGCACTGTTTGTACATAGAGTTTCCAGAGGCAAGCCATTTTGGAAGTGGATGCCGCTCCTGCTTCCAGGCTTGTTTTAGTCGGGAAGCTCCAGCCAACACTATCCACCATGGGTACCTATTACCATGATTGGCACATCACTGTCACAGTGTTCAGCATCACAGCAACACTATTTAGGATAACCAATTTAACATATTGGTGCATTACATTAGGTAAAGCAAGACTTTCTTATCATCAACTGCATTTCTAATTAGATAAGGAAGGTTGCTGAGAGAGACATTTCAGCAATTAATGGTAGGAGACATGTTCCTCCTAATGTACGCAGAATGCATTCCAGGATAATTCTTCCTTATCACAAGACTGTAACGCTTATGTGGAATAAGGGATATTAGAGCTTCTGCTGTTGTTAGATGCCGTCAAGTTGAGTACAACTCATAGCAACCCTATGAACAATAGATCTGAACCACATCCTATCCTGTGCCATCCTGATACACTAGAGCTCACTGCAGCAGTCACAGTGTCAATCCACCTGGTAAAGAGTCTTCCTCTCCTTCGCTGATTTTCCACTCACCTTTCCAAGAATCATTTCCCTCTCCAAGGAATAGTCTCTCCTAGGAACATGCCTGAAGTATGTGAGGCGAGGCCTCATCATCTTTGCCTTCAAAGAGCACTCTGGTTGCATGCTCTCCAAAACATATTTGTTTGTTCTTCTAGCAGTTCATGGGATGTTGATTGCCTTAGTTCTCAAACTGACATCATTACTCCTCAATAATTTGGAAAGGTCCCTAACTGCAGACTTTCCCAGTGCAATGTGTCTTCTTGTTTTCTATCTGCTAATATCAAGTTTTTAATTGTAGATCCAAGTTAGATTAAATTACTGAGAGTTTCAATCTCTTCTTCATCCATTAGATCCAGTGGTCCAGTGGTAAGAATGTTTTGTTTTCTTGATATTCTTGGCATTGAGATATAATCCATATTGAAAGCTGCATTCCTTGATCTTCTGCAACAAGTGCTTCAAGTCCTCCTCACTTTTAGAGCTAGAAGGAGATATCAATCTCCTACAAGTGTTGTCACTGGGAAGCTGAGGTTCACAGAGTTATTTTTGTATTAATGACAAGACTCATCTAAGGTCCACTTATGTTACAGTTGAGTTGGAAGCAATACTCATACCTTCTTCCCAGTTGAGGGCTTGTTCTGGCATGCTACACTCCATACTCTCCCTTGAAGTAAGAAAAGACATCTCTTTCCCACTCTGCTTGTTGTTAAACTGTTAAACACAGTTTCATAAATAATTTTACTTTCAGAGGAAGAGAAAAAAGAGTGTTAAGAAGAAGATAATTTCACTGCAAGATACAAAAAAGATATGATTGGTAACAATAAGCTCTGTGTATCAGATTATATCAATGGCTACTAGGCTAGGAGCTGATTGTGGAACAGACCACCAACTACTCATATGCAAGTTCAAGCTGAAGCTGAGGAAAATTAAACCAAAGCCACAGAAGCCAAAATATGACTTTGAGTTCATACCACCTGAATTTCAGAATCACCTCAGGAACAGGTCAGGTTTGAGGCCTTGAACACTAATGAGCAAGGACTGGATGAGTTGTGGGAGGATGTCAAATGTATCATCCAGGAAGAGTGCAAATGGTCATTACAAAGACAGAAGAGGAAGAAAGACCAAAATGGATGTCAGAAGAAACTCTGAAGATTGCACTGGAG